TGATATCTCATGCTTGGTTTACTGTTGGTTATTAGCATGTTAATGAGCTTGCTGGGTATGTTTGAAATGCTCCATGACATCCAGCTAAAAAATGTAGATTTCTAGGAAAGAACACGGCCTAGTTCTTATGCATGTGTAGGCTCTTTCTTTGTATTTATCGTTATATTGATACCTGTATATTGAAGGCTGAAGGTCATTTTTTGCCTTGCAAGGCTGTGGTTTTCTCTTTTCTCCTCGCTGAAGTGATTTAATGCTGATGTTTTTCTTTGGAAATTTTATTTGGGGATTTAGTCATGTTTCCTGTTACTCCCCCTGTTTGAACCGCATGCTGAATGAAATATTGGTTTTTGAAGGATTTGAAGAGGAATTGTTGGGGGCTTACGTATGTTTCTCTATTTTCTGTTATTTCCTACTGTTTGAAATGCATGCTAAAAGGAATGTTGGCTTTGGGGGTTATTTTCGTCTCTCTGTTTCTTATTATTCCCCCTATTTGAATATATGTTGGAACCTGTTTTAATGTTTTGAGAAGTTGGTTTTGTGGTTCAGTTTTGCTCCTTACGTCTACTGCCCCTGATCAAATATACGTTGGAATCTGTCTGGTGTCTTAAGCAGTTGGTTTTGGGGCTTGGTTTTATTTCCTGTTGGTGCCTCCCCATTCGAAACATATGTGAATAAAATTTTGTTTTTTAAAAGCTTTTGGAGTTTGTTTTGGTGGTTTGGCTTTGCTCCCTGTTGCTGTCTGTTGTCTGTTCAAAGTGCATATGCAGCTAGAACTTGATTTTTTTATGGCTTTTGGAATTCGTTTTGGGGGCTCGGTTTTGCCACTTGTGGCTTCCTCCCTGTTCGAAATACCTGTCGAATGGAAGCTTGGTTTTTAAGGCTGTTTTGGGATTTGTTTTGGGACTCAATTTCGCCCCCCTATGGCTACCTTTCCTATTTGAAAAACTCGTATGGCTGGGATATGGGTTTTGAGGCCTTGAAAGGGTTTATTTTAGGGGGTTTATTTTTGTTCCTTTTTGCTTCCTCTGTTCGAAACACCTGCAGAGGGTGTTGTTTGATTTTGGAGCTCTTAGGAGTCTTGTTTTGGGGTCTTGTGTTGCTTCCCCTAGCCATGAGCCCTCCTGTTGGTTCCTGGGTCTGGGTCTGGGTCTGGGTGTGGGGTTGGTGTTCACTCCTGGCGGCTCCTGACCATGAGTCTCCCTATTGTGTTCTCTTGTTTGTGTTGGGTGTTAGCTGGTGGCTTTCCCCTTTGGCTACCCCTATCCGTGAGCTTGTGGCTACTAGTTTGAGTTTGGTGGCTTCTCTTGCTGCTCTTACCCGAGAACCCTTGTTTGTGTCTATTGGTTCCTTTGTGCACCTCTTTGGCGGTCCCCTTGTTGTTCCTGGCCGTGAGTCGTTGCCTGTGTTTGTGTTGTGAGCTGGCGGCTTCCCTCTGCTACTCCTACCTGTGAGCTTGTGGTTGTGATTTCCCTTATGTTGGGCTCGGTCTGCCCTCTTAGTTGCCCTGGCCATGGGCACTTGTTGGGTTCCTCGTGTAGCGTTGGGTTTGTATGGCATGGGAAGCTTTTGGTTCGAGGTAGAATTGAATGTTTTAATGTTGGTATAATGGAACATTTCGATTCTCGTTATTTGGAAGAATTTAAATGCCCCTTTTTGAGAAAAGATTGGTTAAATGTTTGGAGTTGTTTCAGGGTCCAATTCTGCGGGTTGAATTGATTGCAATAAAAAAAGAAGAAAAAAAAAGAGAAAAGAAAATCTTTGGATATTTAAGAAAGGTTTGGGAATAGCTTGGAGGACTCTAAATTGTGTATTTCAGGGTTATTCCTTGCTCATTCGAGAAGTCCCATCAGGTGGAAGATTTAGGCTAACCGTCCTACCGCTTTGGCTTTTCTTTTCTAAATTAATTTTGGAGGTGGGTTAACCTTCTTTATTTTTTATTTATTACTTTTAGGTTCACTTTTTTTGTTTCTTGGTTTGGGTTTTAAATGCTTATGTCCAATAAATAAGTGCGCGTGTATAGCCCGGGCTATATATAAAACCATCAAGCAATGTCGTAAATTGGACGGTCGTTTTTAGGTATTAAGCCTTGATGATAAAGGCATTCGGTGGTAGAGCGGAATAATATTCCATCCTACGATATCGGGACTCAATCCAAGGACCCGGTGAAATGTAGGATGACAATATTATTCACGGACACCAGACTAGCAGGGCACTCTTACCTTCTTAGGTTGGTGGTCCCGGCCAGACGGTCCAATCGACTTGTGGACAATCATATTTTTATAAAAACTATAAGAACAGATACGTTATTTTCTAAAGTATTTTAGCTACCAAAATTGACACTACTTTTCTTGTATGCATGAAGTCTATATGCATGCTAAAATATAAATTTTAAATAATATAATTCGATTGTCCACTTGTCAATCGTCAGTATTGGGCTAAGAAGTACTTTTCTAAGTTGGTATAGTAGGACACATTTCTAGTTGAATATCGGGCTCTATACATACGGGTGACCGATAGTTGTCTTCGGAGTCCCTCGAAAATACCTAATTCTGAGTCTAACCCGACCCGAATGCTTACGGTCTTCTTTATTTATTCAAAATTTTTATATGCTTTCCTACGATTTTATCGAAATCTTTGTAAAGCACTTGTGATTTTTTTCTCCAGATTTTCCTCGTGTTTTCGACTGTTTTCTTCGAGTTACTGTGGGTCTTCTGTCGCTTTTTCTCGAGTCTTTTCAGGAGCCGCCGATCCGTCAGGTATATAAGTTTGTTTTACATTTATAGCGTTTATTTTTCCTGTTGCACACTTTACTGCATATACACATAATTCATGTCTGTAATAGTACTGTTTACTATTTACTGCATTTCGTAGCATGTTTCCTTTTATAATTCAAGTTGTTTCTACAGACTTGCAGGGGATTTTTAGGTTAGAGGACGGTAAGACACCTGGTTTAGGAGTTACCTCATAGCGAGCCACTGACCTAACAACTGTACATTTATACACACCACAACCCTGAGCCTATAATCAATCTGTTAAGAGCTAAGAGTAGTCTTCCTAAGAAGCGGAGCATGGAAGCAAGCGAACGGAGGGCGACGATCGAGACCACGACGACGGAGCGTAGGATGTCTCCTTAGAGTTAAGGTCCAATCGTAGGATAGTTGGGAAGTCACCGGGGTTCTCCCTGGATCTGTGACATCCCCTACCTTTCACTCCATTAACTCATAAAAATAACTGTTTATATTTTGAGTCTTTCTCTCTTGATTTCCTCATATTTATCCTTGGAAATCTAAATTTTGCAATCTTGAAGACAACCACTGATCTTAATCGAGAGTCTTCTTAAGTGATTTCAGTCATTAAAGATGTAATTAACTATATGGTTTTGCCTCTATAGGAAACTTAAGAACCAAGCTTAAAATAAATCCTATTTAACTTTCCATATTAAATAGGAAAACTTGTCGGCTTATAGAAAGGTTTCGCAGACCAAACGGACGTCACAGAGACGTCACAGATCTTTTAGTTTAGGTGGTTAAGTCTGTCAACAAGTTGTATGCATATCCTTCGGGATAGTGTACTATTTGTGGTATCGCGCTCAGCCTCCTAAACTATCAAATACGTGAGGTCAGTTCGGTCTCACTTTTCAAAATTAAAATCATATATCCTCGAAAATTATAATCATAATGATATATACCAATTAAATTAAATTCAAACGTCCCACCTTTTCGAGATAAAGCGGCCTACACGAGATACAGCATAATCAATCATGGAGGCTAACACTAATAAAAATCCTCAAACCAAATATAAAAACCCCATTGTGATGATGAAATCATTAGATAGTGCATATAACTACGTAATGTATGCCTTAAAATCCGCTAGCTCTATTGAACAACCAATGTAAAATCACAAAGTAAATGTGACTAGATATATAAGTGTAGAACCTTGGAAAATATAAGAGCAAGCATTGAGCATGAGAAATTAGGGAGCAGTGGCAAGAATCAAAGATGAGTGTACGAATGCTCAAGGATGGCTTCTATTGCATATAAGGTCATAATGGTTGATAGCTTGTGGCAACATTCAAGAGTTCGGCAAGATTCCGTAGTAGTGGATGCCTCTATGGTACAAGAACAAAGCCTTAAAAAAGTTTCAAAGGAAAGAGGAGACGATGCCTTAAAAAGTAATACACTGTCCCAACCAATCAGGAATCAAGGGGACATGCAAACAGGAAGACTAAAATATGATCCAACATGCCTACAGATTAAACAAAGAATTAGTAAGAAGTAGGCATGTTTGTTACAATATCTGTCAGCTAAAAGATGAGATCAGAAGACCAAGCTTGATATGGTTAGCAAAAACTGAATAATAATTAATTTGGTTTTGTTGTCTTTAACTATAGAACAAAGTAGATAAAAAAAACCTTTGAAACATCTACAAATAGATAGCACTGGGAATAAGAAGGTAATCAAGGATCCTCTTTCTTAATTTTTGTCATTCTCTTATTATAATACTAGAGGTGCTGGTTTTTGTGCTGTTTGAATGTTTGCTTAATTTTTAACCTGCAAGTTACGGAAGAACACAGCCAGAAATAATATCTTTTCGAGCAGATAAGAAGTGCAAAACAGATGCGGCACATAACGAACATTTGTCAGTGTCCTCTATGTTTGCACCAAGCCAGAATGCTAGAAGGCACAAAATTTATTTTGCATTTTACAGCACATACAAAAATGTTACTAATGTATTTACTCAACCCTCTAAACAAAAACACGCAAAAGATTGATAGCATACAATTAACTTTGCAGGTAAGATACTAGTGGTTGTAATCGTTCTCCAAATCATCTGGAATTGAAGCATGATAATTTGTAGAATTGGCAAATAAAATAGCACCCACAAATGAAGAAAAAAAAACTTCAAGGCTTACAAGAAAAGCTGATAGTGCCCGTGGTCCAGGGACGTAGCCACAAAATGAGCTAACAAATAAAGAAGCAAGGAAGAACAATAAAATTAACTTTACTCTATATAGGAATTCCTCCGCTTCAACACACTTTTCTGGTATGACAAAGAGCGCTTTTCTCGAATTCAGTACTTGGCGCTCCCATTCTTGATCCGCTCCAGCTCGATCAACGCAAGGATCCATAGCGGTGTTCTTTAAAATCACTAGCATTTTTTCCAGATTTGGGTCGATTTTTCTTTTTAGATCGTCCTCCTGAAACGATCGAGTTCGTCCTCTAGTCGTGGTGAGTAGTTCGACAACGAGGGCTTCGGCTTTGCTTCCCAGATCCGGAAACCTTAGCTCGCAGCAACCCATCAGTTGACTCAAGCGTTTAATGAGTCCAGATAGTTCAACTCCGTCACCTGCGTAGAACTGGCTATATGAGGCGATAGAGCTCGGTCTGGGCAACGACGCAATCCTGCGAAGGAAACGAGGAGGGATTCAAGGTCGCCGACGTCGAGGGGCTAATGGGAGTGTTCAGCTAATATTGTGAATCAGAGCATACGGAGGATGGTACAAAAGGCGGGATTTTGCCGTTGCCTTTAGGTTTTGCGCGCTATGGCGGAGGCGGGAGGTCGGAACGGTGGAAGGAAAACGAGGGAGGGGCCGGAAAGTGAAAAATATGCAGTGCTTTCTTATTTCAGTATCTTTTAGTTTTGATTTCATGTTTGCTTTATTTTTTATGCCATCATCAAAGTTATTTTTAGAAGTGATTTCGTAATATTTTTCTAAAATCTTTAAGATAAAAAATTGATTTTTTTCTGCCAGAGCTATTAAAATGTATTGCTACCAAAAAGTTAAAGTCTTATTATTTAAAAATAAAATAAATTTATAATAATCATCGCAATATATTTGAAATATAGCAACTTCACAGCTACTTCTTAAAACAGATGTAGCTGTCCCAAATACTCCCTCATGTAAAATAAGAGGAATTTGTAATTAAATTTTAAATAAAAATTAAACTTAAGTCTGACCTTAGCTCGCTTTGATTAGTCAAAACCTGAATAAACCTTACACCAAACACAGTCTGCCCAATGCCCAGATTTGCTCATTATGTACCAAATTGAATAAATAATCTCTCACAATTACAAACAAAATTATTAACATCAAAAGTCCTTCAAATATATTATAACTAAGGAGTAAACCTTGTCTTGAAGAATGGTAAAGGATGGTTCAAAACCTTTTAAACTCAGTTGACTCACCATGTATAACGAGGGAGCAAATAACGATGTCTTAGGAGAAGATGAATTCCTTACACTAAGCTCACAAAGAGGTGGGCATCAATGTAACCAATGGCATGTTAAATAAGAGAGGAGTATGCGGTGTGAGTGACAAGATTAGACATTGATGGATCAGCAACAATTTGCGAAAGAGAAGTGGAGTTTATGATGGGAGTGTTTGAGGGCAAGCATCATTGGACCCATGATGACATGTGACAGAAAATAGTAGTTCATGAAAAAGGTGTCAGGGACTAACATAGAAAAACCAACAAATCTATGCAAAAGAGAAGAGAAACGTATGGTGAGAGTGTTCGAGGTAGGCATTAATAGTTCAACAATAACATACAATGAAGAAGATTTGCTCTTAGCAAGTGTGAATGGAGTAGGCATTGATAGATTGATGGCAACATGTAATTAAGAAAAGGCGTTTAGAACAATCCATAATCCCAATCGAACCTTGGTGCAAACCACCAATCAAAGGTTCAAACCAATTTCAAAGACCTTTAACTTAAATAAATAGTTATTAAATAAAACAAAATATCTCTTGTTGTTGGTAATTTCAATGAAAAAAATTTCAGGCATATTCTATTAGAAAATAAATAGTGGGGAAATTTTCCAAGATACATGAATTATAAGGGTATTAAAGTCATATTTCCAAATTAAATTTGAATTTTACTTTAAACTTTTTTCCAAACAACCCTAAATTTGTATAGCAAGAATTTGGATAATATCCAATTATTATGATAATGAAAAGTATTTAAGAAAAACTTAATCACTCTACCTTAATTTAAATGCTTAAAATCGCTTTTTTTAATTATAATCATTTTAAAACAAACCAAATCCAATAATTGTTGAAATAAAGTCAATGATTAATATTTAAGATTTTTTGGCAATTATATGACATTTTTTATAAAATTAAGTCACATTTTGAGCTATTAAGTTATGGTTCTCGTTATTGTTCATCAATAAATAATGTGTGTGGAATATAGGTTTGTCTCATCTTAATTGTTTTTTTTTAGTTGGAATTTTATTTTTTACTACAATAATACTTATGTGCATATTTCTATATCATACTATTTCAAGTATTAATTTGATAAAATGTGTGTTATAAGATATATACTTAAATATGATGGGATATATCTTGTTAGATGTTTGATTGAGTAATCATTCAGTACAAATTTTCACCTCCTTCATATAACTCGTGATAAAGTATACAATATTTTATAAAATATTATTGATATGAAATTTTACAAAATAAACGCAACAAATGTGTTTATGATGTTTCAGTGTTTGTTGGAGTGTTAGCAAATGCTTCAGAAGTGGTCAAATGTTAAGGAAAGTTATTGACTAGTTTAAAGTTTATATTCAAAATTTAAATTGAAAGTATATGACAGTAGAAAACTTGATTTTGTCTTACGAAAAATTTATGAAATCCTCCATGTTAGAGGTTTTTGATGTTGTTTAACTAATAATGTCGATTTTATATCGATTTGAAGTGTGATTACTAAGATATAATTTTTTTTATATATTCAAGAAATGGACAATAGAAATAGAGAGTTTTAGACTTTTTTGGTGAGGGTTAAAGTAGAGAAGAAAAAAACGGCTAATAATATAATTAAGGTTCATAAATAATAATAGTGGTTGACGTCAAATCAATCCAAATAGTTAAGCCATTTTTTTTGTATAATATGTGTTATAAGAGATCAAATCTATTTTTTATTGAATCAATAGTCATCTAAATAGTTCATGTGTGCAATAAAAAGGAGGTAAATCACTAATCAAAACAGTAAAAATTCTCTTTGAAAATATATACATAAGAGATAAGGATAGAATTGTATGATCTCTCCATTCAAAAATAAAAATATCTTTCTAATTTAAGAAATTAAATAAAGTGTTCAATTTCTTCTACTAAATTCTTAAGTTGAGTTCATTGGTATAGTTATAATTTAATTTTTTAAAATTCAAATTATTCTCTCTTATACTCTAGATATTTGTCCCACATTTAAACAATAAAATAAAATAATATATAATTAATTATCATGATGATGGACCTTCAAAATTGATCTAGTAGGAGGCCTCATTACTTGCCCTACACCAACTCTCATTTGCTTAATTGCTTATATCTTATGGAGTTTAACTTATTATAATGAATTAAGAGGAAGAATTCTCGATGTGTCTATAATGGAGTGTATGTAGCTTTAAGTGTATCATGTGATAATGTATATATATA